AGTCTAAAGACTCCAATTAAAAGGAAAAGATTGTTTTATCGAATAAAAAAGTAGAACTACGAATATACAATTAAAAAAATGGAAATATGGGGCCGGCCGAGTGGCGCGATGGTTAAGAACTGGCTTGGAACGCCAGAGGGCCCTGGTTCGGATCCCACATATGAGGGCCAGTGACACTGCCCTCCACAGCTAAGATGCTGTACAACAGCTCAACCTGGTGCTGGGCTGCCATGAGTTGCCGGCGATGGCGTAGGCTGCAGCCCCTGCTGCAGTGGGTTGCCATAAGCTACCGTATGTAGCCAGCAGCCAGCGTGAGCAGCCAGCAGCCAGCGTGAGCAGCCAGCAGCCAGCGTGAGCAGCCAGCAGCCAGCGTGAGCTACCCTCCAGAAGCCGGCAACTGATCTGCCTCACCCTGGAAGAGCACAATGATGGTGCCAACTTGGACCAGTGAAGCAACGTCCTCCACAACTAGACTGAAGAACAAAAAGGACAGAAACTTGTCTGTTCCCATCCCCCCAATTCCCCAATAAAATATCTTCAAAAAAAAAAGAAATATATTAAACATTAAATACAGAGAAACAGGAGTTAAAATAAAAGGATGAAAAAAGCACAAACCATGTTATAAAATGATGTGGCTATACTAATACTAGACAAAGAAAATTTTAAGACAAAAATTTTACTAGGAAATAAAGTAAGGCATTTCATAACGATAGAGGGTAAGTTCATTGAGAAGCTATAACAATCCTAAAATGTATTCACTTTAAGCAGAGTAGCAAAATAAGTGAAACAAAAACTTATAGACAGAGCTTTTTCATGAAGATGGCACCAAAAGCGAAGAATGAAGCCCGAAGCCCCTGCCCCTCCCAAAGCCAAAGCCAAAGCCAAGTCTTTGAAGGCAAAAAAAGCAATGCTTAAAGGTGTCCATGGCCACAAAAAAATAAGACCTGCACATCACCCACCCTCTGAAGGCCCAAGATGCAGTGGCTCCAAAGGCAGCCCAAGTATCCTCAGAAGAGCGCCCCCAGGAGAAACAAGCTTTACCACTGTGCCATCACCAAGTTCCCCCTAACTACCGAGTCAGCCATGAAGAAGATAGAAGACAACAACACACTGTGTTCACTGTTGATGTCAAGGCCAACAAGCACCGCATCCAACAGGCTGGGAAGAAGCTTTATGACATTGACGTGGCCAAGGTCAGCACCTTGATCAGGCCTGATGGAGAGAAGAAGGCATATTTTTGACTGGCTCCTGACTAGGATGCTTTGGATGTTGCCAACAAAATTGGGATCATCTAAACTGAGTCAGCTGGCTAATTCTAAGTATAAAATTTTTTCACTGTAAAACAACAAACAAAAAAAACAAAAACAACAACTTTTAGACAGATAGGAGAAATACACAAACCTATAATTACAAAAAATTTCCAGACTCATTTTTGGTAATTGTAAAAATAGAAAATCAATAAGGACCTGAATAATACTACCAACAAACTTGATCGGGAATTTATAGAACATTCCACTCTAAAACAGAAAAATGCACATACTTTGCAAATGCACAAGGAGCATTCATGAAGAACAAATTCTGGGCCATTAAAATAAATCTCCATATTTAAAAGGCCAAAATCAAACAAAGTACATTCTCTGACCTCTGTAGATTTAAATTAGAAATCAGTAACAAAAGGCTATCTGGAAAATCCCAAAACATTAGGAAATTTAACAACACACTTCTAAATAACCTCTGCAAAAAAACAGAAATCCTCACTGGAAGTAGAAAGTATTTTCAACTCTATGATAAATAAAAACATAGCACATCAAAAATTATGTTAAAAAGTTATTAAAGTTATTAAATAGCATATAAAATGAAAAGATCAAAAGTTGTAAGATTCAGCTGAAGAAGTGCTTAGAAAATTTATCACTTTAAGTATTCATAATAGAAAGAAGAATGGTTCAAATCAGTGATATGTTTCTATTTTAAGAAGCAACATAAAAGTAAAATAAAAAATAGCAGAAATCGATTAATTACAAAACAAATAAAACTAACAAAGTCAAACATTTTTACTCTGAAAAAATTAATAAAATTGGTAAATCTTTATCAAGATTGATTAATACTGGACAGAGAAGGGAGAGGGAGAAGGTAGGGACAATGAAAAAGAGAAGAGAGAGAAAAAGAGTAAACATAAATCTCCAGTATATAAGAATAAAAGAGGTGGCATTATTACACATCTTGCAAAAATTACAATTAAGAAGATTACTGAATGTCAACTAAAATTTATATATATATATATATATATATATATATATATATACACACACACAGGATGTGGAGTACAGCCTAGGGAATAGTCAAAGGAATTGTAACAGCTATATACGATGTCAGAGGCGTAGTATATTGGGGAAGGGGGTTATCAGTTTTTGAGGGATGTAAATGTCATTGTTTTACACACCTGAAACTAATAAAAAAAATGCAATCAGAAAAAGTCAGATAAAGGGAAAGAAGAAGAAGAAGGAAGAAGAGGAGGAGGAGGAGGAGGAGGAGGAGGAGAAGGAGATTACAAATAAGGAGATACTGCAAATAGGTATTTGGTAATAAATTCAACAACTTAGATAAATGAGACAAATTCATTGGTGAGCAAAAACCAAAAATCCATTTGCCATTAGGCACATATGTCATCACTGAATTCTAGAATGTATTTAAGGAAAAAATAATGCAAAGCCTGAAAAAACTCTTACAGAATATAGAGGAGAAGGAATACTTCCCAATGCATTTTATCAAGTCAGCCACCCTGATTCCCCAAAAGGAAAGAAAACTACCAATCAATACTCCTCATAAACATAGATACAAAATTATTTACCAAATGTTAGCAAAGTCAGATCCAGTAATATATGAAAAATGAATAGTTTATCATGACCAAACAAGATTTATTCCAGGAATCCAAAGTTTATTTACCTTTAAAACCATTCAATAGAATTTACCATATTAACACAAATGAGAAAAAAAAGATTATTCAAATACACTAAAAAAAAGTATTTTGTAACTATTAAAATAAATAAGTGAAGTTAGTAAGGTCATAAGGTAAGGGGGTGACATATAAAATTAAATTTATATACAACGTAGAATAGTTGGAAAAGAAAATTTTATAAATCCACTTAATGTAAAAAATAAAACATTTGGAAAAATGTTTAACACAACATGTGTAAGACTACGCCCTGAAAACTACAAAATGTTGTTGTGGGCAAATAAATAATGGCGAGGTACATCATGTTGTTGGAAAGACTCACTACTAAAATATTTAATCTCTCCAATTTAATATATAGATTCACTGTAGTTTCAACCAATAATTGCAACATAATTTTGTAGAAACTGACAAGCTGATTTGAAAACATATGAAAAAGCAGGTCTGGAATAGCCAAAACAATTTTGTAGAAGAAAATGATGGAGTATTCACATTAACCAGATTTTACGACTTTCTATAAGCTACGGTAATTAAGACAGTGGTTTGGCATATAGATAGACATATAAACAAATGGAACAACACAGGGAATCCAGGAACGGATCCATACTTATGTGATTACCTGGGGAAAGGATATATCAATAAATGATGCCTGCACAATTTTATATACATTTGGAAATAAGTAAGCCTCAACCTTCAAACCATATGCAATTACTTGAAGATGAATTATAAACCTAAACATAAAAGCTAAAATCATAAAACTTATAGAAGAAAATATCTTTGCTCTCTAGAGGTAGGACATGAAACATGAAAGAAACATTTTATAAATGGTAATTTACCAAATTTAAAACATTTGTTCATCAAAAGACACTATTAAGAAAATGAATAAAGAATCATAGACTAGGAGAAAATATTTGCAATACAAATGTATGACAAAGAATTTGTATCTAGAATATATATGTAACTCTTTCTAATCAGTAACAGGAGACAAACAACATGATTTTAAAAAGGCAAAGACTTGAAATTTCACAAAAGAAAATATGTGAATGTCTGAAAAGCACACATAAATTTACTCAACGTCATTTAGTCACCAAAGAAAACAGAAGTGAGGTCCTCTTCTTATACACTCACTAGAATGGCTAAAATTACAGACTGGCAACATCAAATGTGGGTGAAATGTAGAAGTATTAGAAATCATATTCTTTGCTAGTGAGAGTATAAAATTATACAACAATTTGAAAAACTGCTTAAAGTTTCTTATAATGTCAAATTATATCAACCCCATTATCCAGAAATTCAACTTCTAAATACTTCTCCAAAAGGAATAAAAACATATGTAATCAAAAAGGCTTACACAAGAATTTCATTCCCTGAAGAGAAAAGCAGAAAAACAAAATATGATATACTCACACAAATGAATACTGATCAGAAATAAATCATGAATTGCATCATATATACATGAGTGAATCTCAAAAACATTATGTTTAGTGATAGAAGCCAGGTAAAAAAAATATTCTCTATGACTCCATTTACATGTATTTCAAGAACAGGCAAACATAATCCATGGTGATAGGGAACAATTTTCTATAATAATGATAGCAGATTTAATAGGGATTTCTTCTTTGGGATAGTATGTTTGGATTATAAAGTTTCTGGCCTGTTTCTGGTTAAATTTTGACATTTTTCTGTCTAAGAGACAACATATAGATATAAATCATACATTTTCTTCAATAATTGCCTAATTTCCTGTTATATTTCAATGGCATCAAAATTACTAATGAAATTATTGATTGAAAATAATTTTCAAACAAACTTTCAGAAGTTAAACTCTTAGTGATTATAATTTTAAGACGTTTGTGGGAGTCAAAAGAGCATCCACAATTGCTAATCGTTTCTGTAAGAAACTCTAATCCGCTAACCATTTGACTATATGATGTGTGCACCCTATCACTCATTACAGCACATCCACTGTTAGGGTGTAGATTTAAAAAATAATCTACCTTGTTACCAGCTGATTGATTCTGAAGCACAAACCACATAAGTTGTTACTCACCAATGATTATTGGTTGCGGTTCACTTTTTACTCCAACCCCTGCACTGGTACTAGCGGCGACCTCTACCCGGTATTGAATTCCTGGGAACAATCCGCCGATTATTACAGACCGAATAGCGGCATCCACAGTTTTGTTGATATGAAATCGTGTTTCATTCCCCAGACACCAGATCTACAGAAGTGTAAAGTGAATAACAACAGAAGATAAGAGATATTATCCTTTCTGGTAATTAGATCAATATAATACATAGTTTTTTAGTAGTGACAAATCTATTTCCTAGGCTTATAGTTTTGTAAATGACATTTTCTAAAACCCAATTCTGCAGTGTGTGTGTGTGTGTGTGTGTGTGTGTGTGTGTGTGTGTGTGCGTGTGTGTGTGTGTATTAAAGGAAGACAATAAGGAAAGCTAAAACCATGCCATGTTCCTTTATATATGACAATCAACACTGAATGCTCATAACACAGTAAGTAATTCCCTTAACACCTCTGGAAAGTGGTCCTTGATTGAAAATAGCATTGGCACACAGATTAAAATATATAAATCCCTCGGCTTAATTTATTTATCAAGATTATTATACACATAATCTTTTAAAACATGGTGGTTATGAGTTGTAATATTCAAGGTATATAGGTGTACATCCAAATAATTTATATTTCATTTAAGAAAATGTTAACATACACAGAAGTAGTTAACAAGATTAATTTACTTAAGTTATAGGTATTGACTGAGATGAAATTAAAGTGCATATTTACATTGACAGTAATAAATCTTAATATTGATCAAAACATATTCACACACGTATACATGCATGACAACAAAGTCATGCAAAAAATCTTTAAACACTGACGAGAGGAAAGCTGGGCTTTTACTTCAAGTAAGAATCAAATTTTAAGGCACATTTTCTTCTTGGATTGGAAACTATAACTATAAAATGTATTACAAAAAAATTCTGTGCTATATACGTATTTGTATTCATATTATACAGTATTTTATAATCTACATGCAGACACATAAGTAGGAACACACAGGGTTCTTTTTCTGAAACAGCTAAGTTCCTGAAACATTTTCTTTAAAATAATTCCTGTGAATTGTATTCTTTTATTTACACTATGATACCTGTGTTATTAATTAAGGAATATTTAGCCCTTACTGAAATATATATTTTGTTACCAAAATATGACAATTTCATATGAGTAAAAAATTGTATAATTTAAATTATCAATTTTTAGTAAATGTAAGATTAGGATATTTAGTCCTAGATGATACAAAGGTTAAAATCCTAACTTTATTAAAACACTCACACACACACACACACACACACACACACACACACACACACACCAAAGATTATTTTTTGCTCTTAAAACAATGTGTTTTAACAGTTGCAAAACTTTAGAATCTACATAATTATGCTATTGTTAAAGCACTCATTCTTATATTTCTTATATGTGTGTCTTTATAATGTGATGGGGGTAAGTTTAAATGCTTATGCATATTCTGCCCATTTGTTTCAGTAAATTAACCATTAACTTAAAATTCTATTTAAAATTTATCATTTTTTTAGAAATAACATTAAAAAAATTCAATCTGCAATGTTTTGAGTGAAATTATTCAGCTTAATTTCACATACCATGCATTAAATTCTGGGGTGAAGTGGGGTGTCCAGTTTTCTATTCTCAGAGATTAATCTAGTATGTTATTGTCAGAATTCTATAAATATTTATTAACAGCAAAAACTCATGGTATTAACATTTTTACAAGGTTTAATGAGGTGTTTTACTCTCACATGCAGTCTAATTATATCACTTAATCAAAATCTTTTTTTCTAAAAGTTGGACATCTTCTGTTTCTTAAATAGCAAATGCTGGTGAGGAAACAAAGGATATATGCTGTCTCTAAACAGTAACAAGTTCAATTGAAAAATGAGAAAATCAGTCACATTTTGTAAGTCAGTTTTTTCAAAATTTATATTTTCAATGGCTCCCTTTTTCCCCAGTGAAATACTTCCCAAAATCTCAATAAATTGATAAAAGCAGAACTTAGAGTGAAAGCTGGCATTGCCCATACTCTACTGGTACCCCAACTCTCTAAATCCCTGAAGCAGCTTTTTCAGAACACAGGTTCAGAATGCAGCCTTAGGCCTGTTACACAGAGATCTAACACCAAAAAACACTCCACTGCCATGGTTTACTTGGGCAAGTGAGTTTGCGTTATCTGCAACCTTGGTGTTAAGTTCTAATCCCCTATGCATGTATTTCTTTACCTGTCACACAAAGATATAAAAAAAAATTAGTTTACACTCAAGCTCAATAAAGAGGGACACTACAGATGGACCTCATCCATGTGACACTGAGACTCCCTCTGTCAGCCACCCTTCTTCACTAAGGCCCTTCCTACCTTGTATTCTTGGATAATTCCATTCTGATGATCAGGCGGAGGAGGATCCCAGGAAACACTGATACTTGTGCTATTGTGGCTTCCAACGGTCAGCACAGTGACAGATTGTGGAGGGGCACTTGGGGCTGCAGAGGAAGTAATTAGAATAAATACAACCGGTGAGTCTTGGAGTGCATTAATGCTGCTTACAGAATACGAATGTGAAGACAAGATGCAGGAGGGTCTGGTTTCCAGTAGTTATAAATTTGCATACAGCATTCAACAGTGACAGTTTTTTACAAAATGTCTTTTAAATATAATGGTTGGATTTAAAGCAAATACAATAGCTGTGGTAATGTTCACTCAATAATAAACTGAACAGCTAACAGTCTAATGAGTGTTTTCTATATACATCCAGCAATGAGCTAAATGTAGGATTTAATTCTCACAATAATCTCAGGAAGTAAAAACAGCTCTTATCTTAGTTTTATAGGTACTAAAGCCTACTGCAAGAGACTATCTAAGTCAAGCAACAATGTAGAATTTGAACCCAAGTATGTCTAATTCTACAACTTTGATTCTTTTTACTCTAATAGGCTCTTGTTTTGAAAAATATATACAATAAAACCTTGGATTACGAGTAACTTGGTTTTGAGAGTGTTCCACAAGATGAACAAACATTGCTATTAGGTTGGTGCAAAAGTAATTGCGGTTTGCAATTACTTTTGTACCAACCTAATAATACATTACTTGGTAAATAAGCCATGTCTTAGAATATGAGTAGTTTATTTCTGGAATGAATTATGCTCACAAACCAAGGTATTACTGTATATATATATATATATATATATATATATATATATATATATATATACACTGCTATCAAAAATATTCCAAGAGGATGTACTCCAAATTGTATCAGTCATTATCTCTGAGTGGTGGCATTACTGACAACCTTTTTGTTTTATTTTAGTTTGTGTTTAATAAATAAAGAGAAACACAGCTATAAATTTCACCACCACCGACAAAAAAATATTTATTTTCATATTGGGAAAATAATTGTCTGTTATAAACTGACCCGTAATTTAAGATTTAAGACTTATTTTATATTGATGGACAAGGAACTCTGAAGTTATAAATGACAACAGTTCATGTTGGGTCAAATGTGAAATTGACAGATTTTAATGTCTTACAGTTCTCTTCCTTTATGGTGTCTCCTATAGCCATACTGAGAAAAGGTGAGTAAGAGAAAATAAAATCTGATTTTAGACTGCAGCGTGTCTCATCCCATGTATCTGAGAGCTAAGAAATACTAATTTTGCTGGAAAACATAAATTCTCAGTGAATCTATGAGTTTAAACGGAAGGAAGGAAAATCAATATCAAAGTACTATCAGTTAAAACAAAATTCAAGGATTTTGTGGTTAGAGAATTTTTATATAGAAAGGTCAACACTTTCATAACTCTACACAACATAGCCCTTTGAAAATATGTACAATTGAATTGTAAAATATATTTTTAAAGCCTATCAATCATCTCCCACTTTGGTAAATTTGTCATGACATATATTTCAGAGGTATGGCCGTATCTGCATTGAGAAACAGGGCACACACACACCAAAATGCTACTATTTATTATTCCTCTGTGTAATAATGTTCCAAAATACAGCATGGTGACATAAATCCAACGACTAGTCTATCAGTTTTGCAGTTATTAAGCAGGTTGGATTGAAAAATAACTTCTGAGAACTGGTTTCCCATTTGCCTTGCTGCTGGCTTGGGGAGAACACCGTGCTTGCTTCCTGACAGGTCAATTATTCCTGTGCTCAGCTTCTTCCTATCAATGTGAAAGAACCCAAATCACCACTCATCGTTTCCAGACACAGGCCAGCTGAGTTCCATTCGTTACCTTCTGAAGGCCACAGAAATCAGAGATGAACTATACCGAATGGTGACAAATGCCTAATCCAGAGGAAAATTCTAACTGTAGTGAAATTGCTTTTTGGAAGCGTGCTTCAAACATATTGAATTTACTCACCCTACTGATTAGTCTCACAGATTTTCAACATACAGTGAAATTTAATGGGGATGAAGACACTATTATTAATTTTTAGTAATTTTATTTTACATATTCTCAAAGTAGATTAATGATGGCTTTAAAAATATGCTTTTCTGCCCATGTCAGTGTATCACACAGTAAACCAATGTCAAGATAACATTTTCACAAGGTTGTTTATTATAAGATATGCATAATTTCAAAGTTCTTGGTCAAATACAAACATCTACAAGTTAGCATGAGCAACCTATATATATTTTCTTAAGGCTGCTCTTATATTAATTTACATAAAATATGTTTAAAATGTCTTTTTATGGGAGCGGTATATATAACATTAGTAGAAAAGCAGAAAAGGGGAAAATGACTTATACTTGGCATCTGACTTTTATTTTTTACTTTGATGATACAATTTATAAAAAGTCTCTAGTTAAGAGAAGGAGATACTAGTAAATGGACAGGATGAAACCTACATTCATCTCATGTCCATCACAGGCTGACTCTAAAATATCTGTAGGCAGGAAACTTCCAAAGGGGAGAGAGGGAGGAGGTGACACTAAGAAGAAAGCTGTTGCAAACACGCACCGGCGTCCTGAACTAGAAATTATGAGTCAGACTGCCAGAGGTCACAGGGAGGGAGGCTTATGAAAGAAAATGGCATTCTTTACTACAGCAAAAAAAAAAAAAGAGTGACAATGAACAGCCTGTACTCGTGATTCTCCAGCAGTCTGTCTTCTAATGAAGCCAAGTGAGCCTAATCCACATAAAAACACATGGGAAATTATTATCGTCAAATTCCAATGTACTGACAGAGAGGATTTGGGGCAAATGTTTACTTAGGAAAAATTCAAATTACTTGAATGTCGTTTTTCATTTTTCTTTTTGAGTTGTCAGATTCTATGGAGTTCTCAGAACAAAACAATAAAATGACATTTCCAAGATTCACCTCTTGTAACTCTTCTAAAGAAGATAAACTAGAAATCAACGGAAAATGGTTTCATTATAGCATAAGTTTGGTTTTTGTTAGAACTTGGATTACTGACCTTCTTCAGTAGTACGAACTGTTTTAGATTCACTATCCATTCCTTGGAACTCATTAAAATATGGTCGGACTTTAATTTCATAAGTCACCCCCTTTTTCAGATTGACTAAGACAGCATTTCGCTCAGTTGGGACTTTGGCATCTAAATTCTGCCAGGTAGCTGTAGCCTGCAGGCCTGAGGTCTGACGATACATCACGCGGTAGCCTTGAATAAACTGGGGCTGGCGATCAACCTGAAAAACACAGCAAAAAGCTTTTGAAATGAAAAGGAAGTATTTTAGGCACCACAGTGGACCCATCTTTATTTCTCTTGTCCCTATCTTGGTCCTCATCCACCATCATCTGAATGATGCCATGGCTTTCGAATTCACCTCCCTGCTTCTTACATCCTCTTCCCATTCTGAGTTCACACTGCTCCCTTATTTCAAAAATGAAGAGTGGGACAACTCTCTCTCCTGTTTAAAACACCTCCTAGTATCTAAGATACCTACTTAATTCCAACTCACTGGATTAGCACAAAAGCCTAGACCTAGACCTGCCAATTTTTCCAACTTCATTTTTCATCTGTTCGACCTTTTTGTGTATTCCACAGTTCTTATTCTTATGATTTACATATAATGTACTATTTGTCAGGGATATCCATTCTCATCCCATTTGCATTCATGAATACCTTCACTCACGCAAAGTATTTTTTGAGTTCCTGCTTATAAATGCCAGAAATTTTGTTAAACTTTGGGGATAAAAAATGGAGAAGGAGGGCTGGCTTAGTGGTGTGTTGATTAAGAGCTGGCTTGGGACACCAGAGGGCCCTGGTTCGGATCCCACATATGAGGGCCAGTGACACTGCCCTCTACAGCTAAGATACTGAACAACAGCTCAACCTGGAGCTGGGTTGCCGTGAGTTGCCGGCGACAGCGTAGGCTGCAGCCCCTGTGGCAGTGGGTTGCCATGGGCTACCGTGTGTGGCCAGCAGCCAGTGTGAGCGGCCAGCAGTCGCTGTGAGTGACTGTCCAGAAGCCGGCAGCTGATCTGTCTCTCCCGGGAAGAGCGCAATGATGGTGCCAACTTGGGCCAGTGAAGCAACGTCCTCCACAACTAGACTGAAGAACAAAATGACAGCAACTTGTCTGTTCCCCTTCCCCCAATTCCCCAGTGCTGTTCCCATCCCCCAATTCCCCAATTAAAAAAAAAATCTTAAAAAAAAAAAGAATACCTTTGTCCTTTAAAAAAAAAATGGAGAAGGAAAGTAGAGTTGGTCCCTGCCCTCACGGTGTTTACCGTCCAGGTGAAAGATGGGCATCATCTAAGAATTACCCAAACAATGTCAAGTTACATTCATAAAAAAATAAACACATTACGAATGAGATGTGCAAGGGCTAAGAAAGCCTAGAGTGGAGATGAAGTTTACTGAATCAGGAAGGAAAGATAAAGTTTCCCTGAAGAAGATCTTCAAAGATTTGAGATCTGCAAAGGACAGCAGGATGTATCCAGTGGAAGAAGTGTAGCAACAGGATGTATAAAATTCCTGTTGGTGGAGGAAGCATATGTGAGAGACCGACAGCTGCAGAACTAGAGCATCTGTTTTTTGTGGGGTTTTCCCCCCAATATATGTGTGTTTATTTCTTCTTTTTATTTAAAATTCGTTTTCAGGTGTACAAAACTATACAATAGTTATCCTTTTCACCCCTCACAAAGTGACAACCCCCCTCCTCCAATCCACCTCCCCCGACATCATACATATCTATTACAATTCTATTGACTCCACTCCCCACACTATACTCCACATCCCATGACTATATATATATATATATATATATATATATATATATATATATATATATATATAAAATTATAGTTGACATACAATATTATTCAACTTCAGCTTCACGTATACAGCACAGTGATCAAGTCTCTACACTGTCCATGAAGTGGTCTAACAAGACATGTGTCCATCTGACACCCTACAAAATATTTACAACATTATTGATGCATAGAAAAGCTTACACCCATTAGCAAATGTTAAATTAAAGACTTTTGTTAATTTGCCAACTTCTGGTTTCTTCAATCGTCCCACTACTGATACAATTTGATAACTTTCTTGATTCTTTCATTTATTCATTCAAGGCACAGAGGATAAGCAACTGTTTTTAATGATTAGCTGGGATTTTGAATCTGAAAACTCATATCAAATAGAAATTTGAAAAAGTTGTTTGTTCACTCATAATAACTACATGAAAATTGAATACATAAAAATGCAAGCTAAAACAGAAACATATTCTCAATACACTTACTAAATCTTTACTGGAGTTTTACCATTTTTTCATTTTTTTTGGAGGGGGAAGTTCTCTTAGGTTTTTTAAACATTTTTTCAATGTCTTGCCGCATTTCTAGATATGCTTGACAAATATAACTATCATAGCACCTTCTCCAATTAATATTCCATACGTAATAATTTAATAACCATGTTCTTAAAAGCCTTTAACTTGACACATTTCACTGTCAAAATATGAAATTTAATGGAGAAGGGATGGAAAAACCTTATTCTAGGAAAGTTTAGGAAAGAAAATACAAAAGGTAATGATAGAAATGGATATTTCAGCTTTTAAAAAATGTATCCAATTGTTAACACATCATTAACAAAGGATTCTTTCATGTATTAACTTCTAACTTCTTCAGTTACCGCATTTTTCATGAGTTGCAACATTTTAAAGTATTTTTACACGAAGGCAAAACATGCAAAAACACAGACTCTCAATCAAAATAGGCTGGAACACAGGTTCATTATTCTGTATTTAGAGTGTCCAAGCTAGAAAAAAATCCATGAAGTTGGAGAGCGTGAGCATGTGTGTTTCTATGTACAGCTAAGTCCAGTTTCGCAGATAAGTCTCAACAAGTAAGCATTTCTTTACCCGCCTGAGAGCTTTCTAACCCTCAATGATTTTCTGGAATAAGTGCTACACTCGTGTGAGGTTATGTCATGAAAAAGTAAGTCCAGCTCTGATGTCAAAGCTCATGATCTTTGAATCTTCATCCACGCTACCAGTTTGTGTCTGTACAAATGGACGCAGTTTTTGAAAATCAGTTGTTCTGACATTAAATAAAAACAATGCAACTCAAAAGCCAAAAGTTAAATTTATGAGACCCAAAGAGAGATACCTTTCATCAAAACTGTCAGTGTTCAAAAAAATCACTGCAGCATATGTTAAAACAACATTAAGCCTGTATTTTATAAACTTCTCTGCATTCACTTTAAGTGAATTTATATAGTGAAAAAAAGACATAACTCACAATAATAGCTTGTTAATACTGAAAGAAGCAAGCTGTGTTTTTAAGAAGAACATTAAGCAGCTGTTTCCAGATGAAGGGAGTCTGTAAATCAGGGTAAATTGGTTTTATCCATGTTTGGTTTTCATTAATTAAGTGTTTTAGGAACTTTATGAAGCTAATGTTTACTACACGGTATTGCTTTGCTCACTTCAGTGTACATTGCCTTCAACCCGTATATTCTAATGACCTACTTAATAATGATACAGCTTAACTTGATTTTGTGCAGTTGCAATACATTCTTTTCAGAAGGAAATTTGTTGTTACAGGTGGAAGAAAAAAGGAAAATGCTGAGCGCTACCTCTAAAAAAATAGGTGGAATTTTTATTGGGTACACGTTCTACACCATTGAATTCTGGAGCACATTTTGACAGGTGGTCATTTTCAAGTTAAACCATATGTTTGTTACTAGTTGTGATTATATAACAGTCTGGCTGCAATTCCATGGGATTATAGAATTTTTTTAAAATTGTGTTTTCTGAAACATGAATAAAAAAGTGTTGTCTTAAGGAAAAAGTAAAATGATGAGAGGTTCAGTCTCAATTGAGTTACAGCTTAGCCTCCTAAACTTTCTGAGCCTCAGGTTACTTAGTATTGCAAGGGCACAAAAACAATTAAATGACTAATAGAAGTTAAAGCACTTTTCAAGTTTTAGGTATACACAATGATAAAGCATCATTGTTGAGTAAAGGATATACTAAAAAAATAACGGGTGCCCTTATGTGGCCCTCACATCATCACTTTCATTAAAATGTTTAAATAAGATGCTTAATATCTATCCTTTCAATTAAAAAATCCACTTAAACTGAAAATGCAAAGTGAACTTTCTTGAGAGGGCTTAGTCTGCTAAGTAACTGATCTGAATTTAGCTGGGTTCTGAAATTCTACTTCACCAGGGCATGATTTCAACTCCAGGAGCTGTAATATTTAAGGGGCAAAGAGTTTGTGATACTTTTTGTCCTTGAGCCAAAACAAAACACACACACACAAACACAAACACACCCAAAAAAACAACTAGAGTAAACATTTTAAAATAAGAGATTAATTGCTATTTTCTTTGTGAAACAGCCATTTTCTTATCAATTCTGCCTACTGTCCTTATAAAGAGCAGTTATGTTTAAAATGTAGCATTTGCTAACTTTCGGTGCTTCGAGATTAGCCTTGTGGGATTTTCAGTACAAACATCATATATGTTTGGTAACTGAATCCTGCCAATCATTGATAAACCACCTAAATTGGCCCCAAATCTAAACACATGGGCTGGGGAATACATTTCTCTCTTCGAATCCCAACACATCTGGAACTCAAACAATGTGATCGTTTAAAGAATATACACATTTAGCAAGTTGAAAATATGACACTGAAAAAAAATATTTGGTCATAATTTCTTTGACAAATAACATCACCCCTAGTCTGATTTAATTTCACTACATTTACCTCTCAAATACATATTTATCTCATGCGTAACTCCAAATTCACGGGGAACAATATCCTGATATGATTAAACACTTTCTTTTGAAAAATAAAAATGTATGAAAACAACTGGTTTGATCATTCAGCAGATAGCTATTGAAAGGGTATTTCATAATTGATTCTCTGCTTTGAAAAAACAGAAATTAAAACATGGACTCTAGACTCACAGAAGTCAAGCTGCTGAGAGAGAGGGGTCCACAGACTAGAAATTACAAGCTTCTTGAGATATAGATATGAATATTACAAGGTCCTTAGTGAAAGAACCACCAGACAAGTGACCTGCAATTTGGATCGAATTTGATTTAGTCGTTTTAACTCAATAACTTTTAAAGTGATTAACTTCATAGATATAATGACTTTGATGCTTTTCCAAATAATTCCCAGTTAGAAGCAGCTTAAAAAAGCCCCTTCAAAACTTGCAACAGAGTAGATAAGGCTCTGTTTTTCAGTTGAAAATAAGGAAAAAATCTGCTATTAAAAATACAAATATTTCCTTGGCTTTGTTAGTTTTGTATGTAGTCAAAGCTACAGAAAGATGGAAGAGGCATGGCAGATAATACTCCTACTGTGCCATTGGAAACATGTCCCCTTCATGGGGAAGAAGAAGAGAAACCATTATATGCAAGAAACAGAATATGTCTATGTGAAATTACACCAAAAATGGAGTTAAAAACAATGTAATTCCAATCATAATTACTCTTAAACTATTATAAACTTAACCTTATTTTTGTTAAAGTGTTACTCAACATTGTACTCAGGAGACAAAAATATGGCTGATCACATGGTCTGGCTTAAGAAGTAACAAAATGCCCATCCAGGATCATATGTTGAAATCCCACCATTAAAAGGCCTTCTTTTTGACTAAATATTTGTCTACAGTTTATCTTTACAGTGAAAACACTAAAAGTAGATTTGAAGTAAGGAAATTCTAATGCTATAAAAAGACAGGGGATTTTGGGGACATTGGTCAACTTGTCTGCATTGGTTTCCTTTCCTAAAATTATAAAATTGGACTAAGCAGCACTAATGTCACTAAGATTCTCCTGTTCTAATGTAATAATGCCTCCATGTTTACTCAGATGAGTGGTGATATCTTTTCCTGTTAGGGCTTTTATCTCTGTCCACAGTCATGAAAACAGAATTTCCATGTTTCTCTGAAGTAGTTTTGTGTCTCTTTATATAGGGCTTCCCAACGTTTAGAACAAAATTGGTTCTTAAAAAATGCTTGTTGAACTGGATTTGTTCAAAGGATTTATTATTGAGAGGACACTGGGATAATTTTCTTCATTGTGTTTATACTTCAAACATAATTAAAAACTGATGAAAAATAACCAGTTTTCCTTTTTTAACTTGCTTTTTTGAGGAAGTTTTTGGAAATGAGCGGAATAGTTATTCATCTAAGTAAAGCAACTTTGACTACATTAAGCACGGGAAGGGAGGATAATCTAGTTTTTTTTTTATAGTAACTGTTCTATAACAAAAACAATAACAACAACAAAAAACTGTAATAATAAAAACATAATTCTAAATAGTTTCTAATTAAGATTATAAAGTAGAATTTTTTCTAGGTATCCATAACTAAAATGTCCATTATTATACAATATATAAGATCTACCACAAACACAGAAGGCTTAAAGAATATGTGCTCTTCTGTCATCCTGATGTATTTCCTTATGAATTTTTAGAGATTATAATAGAGAAATCTGGGTCATAAAGGAGAAGTTGGCACTAATTGTATTAGGCTCAGGGAAGATTATCTTGCTCTTCTCAAAACACAGACACACACATAGACACAGACATATGCACAAGTGTTAGCATTCTCCAATATGACTAAAATGGCTATTTTTATGCTATTTGTTGTTTCCACTGAAGGGGCTACCATGTGATCAAAACAGTTTGCATTTTGAAATAATAAGGGACAGATTAGCATTTAATAATATATGCAGTTAACCATTTTAGCATATACTAAATTATCAATTTATTTCTGAAAACCCATTAATTTTTTTATAACATGTCAAATTATTAAAATTATATATATGTTCTGGTGCTGCTGGAGGAGATTCAGATAAAAGAACATAAAGATGGTTGGTTTAAATTCAGAAGAAATCTTCATCAAAATTAAAATCTTTTGTGTTTCAAATGACATCCTTAAAAAATTAAAAAAACAGGGCCGGCCGTGTTGCGTGTTGGTTAAGAGTTGGCTTGGGACACCAGCTCTGAGCAGCAGGGCCACAGGTTAGATCCCACATGGGCCAGTGACGCTGCGCCCTCTACAGCTAAGATGGTGAACAACAGCTTGACCTGGAACCGGGCTGTTGTGAGTCGCGGGCAACGGTGTAGGTTGCAGTGAAGCTGCAGTGGGCTGCCATAAGCTACTGTGAGTGGCTGATAGCTGGTGTGAGCTTTCATGAGCTGCCAAGAGCCACTGTGAACGGCCGTCCAGTGGCCGACGACCTATCTGCCTCACCTGGGAAAAGCGCAATGATCACAATACCAACATGGGCCAGTGAAGTGACGTCCTCCACAACTAGACTGAAAACCAAAGGACAGCAACTTGTCTGCTCCCCTTCCTTGATTCCCCAACAGAGTTCTCCTCCCCCAATTCCCCAATAAAATCTTTAAAAATAAATAAATAAAAAACAAACCACAGGTTAACAGAAAATATTTAAAAATCATATATCTGATAAACAGTTTGTATCTAATTGTAAAGAACTCTAATAAGACTATAATAAGATGACAAACAACCCAATTTAAAAATGGGCAAATAATTTGAAGACATTTCTCTAAGGAAGATATACAAGTGCTCAAAAGCACTTGAAGAGATGCAAAACATGATTAGTCATTAAAAAAATGCAGATCAAAGCTACAGTGATATACCACTAATACCCACTAGAATGATTATAATAAAAAAGAAAAGTGTTGGTGAGAATATGAGAGAAACTGGCAAGGATGTAGACAAAATTGGAACATTCACATATTGCTGGTGGGAACATAAAATGGCATAACCACTTTGGAATGTATTTTGACATTCACCGCAATGCTAAACAGAACATTACCATATTACTCAACAATTCCTAGGTATATACCAACAGAAATATAAACATATGAGTGTATTGACTTATATACAAATGTTCATGTTGTCACCATTAATAATAGCCCAACGTGGAAACAAATCAAAGGTGCATCCACCAATGAATAGATAAAAAGAAGTATGTGATCTAGTTGTACAATGGAATGATATTTGATAATAAAAAGAAACAAAATGCTGATACATGCTACAACATAAATGAACCTGATAAACATTATGCTGTGTGAGAGAAGCCAGACACAAAAGACCACATAGTGCATGATTTCATCTGTATGAAGGGACTAGACAAATCTATAGAGGCAGAGAGTAGATCAGGGGTTTAAAAGGGCTAAAAAGTAAGGGAAATGGAGGAGTGACTGCTAACGGGCACAGGATTTCATTTTGGGATGATGAAATATTCTAAAATCAGATTTTGGTGATGGCTGCACAACTCTGTAACTAACACTATAAAACACTGAGTTGTACATTTTAACTCTGGTATATCAATTATATTTCATTAAAGCTGTGAAAAATTCAGAAGACAGGACATGTCATGCTGATATTGCAATCCATCTGTTTTTACTGTATGTATTCTTTTTTCTATTGAAAACTTTTCTTTTTGCAGTTGATTACACCTTGATTTTAAGTGGTGTTTTTATTACTTTTTTTTTTGGCTTGCTTATTTGCTTTTTTTCTTTTTTGGCTTGTTTTACTAAAGGAATAAAAGAGGCCACAGTTAATATAACCTTTGAAAACTTACCGTCCATGTAACTTGAACAGTGGTGGGAGTCAACACAACAGGCATATGAAGACGGACGATGACGTCTCCAAGTTCTTTCTGCACTTGTCTGTGGTCCACTCCTTGTGCTGGTGGGCTGATATCTACAGGTACAGGACCATTTCCAAGTAAAACAAATTCATAGTCAAATTCCAAAGTCTACTATATAAGCCAATATTATGCCATTAGAGATAATTACAGGAAAAAAAATAAAAACCTTTTGTGAGAAAAATGCACACACACACACACACACACAAAAAAAAAACCATTAAAGCATACTGATGTATATACCTCCATGCTAGGATTAATTTGAAAAATTATATTTATCTTTATTAAAATAGTACTAATAAAAGAGCACATGCAACCTCTAACCCCATTCATATACATTGTTGTGGAAGGGCTATTATTTTCTTGTTAAAATATAAAATACGTGCAGTAAGACTTTTCTAGAAACATCAGTTTTATACAGATGTTGAAAGACTTTCTCGAGTAGTTAATGGGGTCATATCTGAAAACTGCTGTTTAGAAATTTGTTTAATCCTTTGTCCCAGTTAGTAAATTATGTGTTCTTACTCCTTGACCTATTTTGCTCTGAGAGCATGGAAGGAAAGTAATCAGAGGGACTGGGAAAGTGAATTATGTCACTAAAGTTAAACGAAGCAAGGAAAAGAGGGGTAAGAAGCTCCCCAAATTAACAAAAATACTTTTGACTGAAAACTTTGAATGCTGATAAAATGTTCTAATGTACTGAATTTTGAGCAGTCAGCCAATATCTGACAAAAGGTAATGCAGCTGCTTTGGAAGAGATGGGGAAAAGAGGGAAGGGAGGAAGATTTGTGACATTTACAATGATACACTCTCAGCCATACATTGTTCTGCCCCTTTATTCACCATTCACTTAAATACTATTCTATTGTCCCATACAATGGTTTATATTTTACGTGTCCATTAAAAAAATTATAAATTACAGACATCCAGTTCCGACAAATAGATATCAAACACTGAATTTCATAGTCAAATCAACTTCTTTAACTGGTACACTGTAATGTTAAGTTGAATTTTTTTTTCTCCAATGACCTATTTAAGGAAGAAAGTCCAATTTAAAATGATTTATTTTCTTAATCTGTTTTCTCCTATTTTCTCAGGCCACAATGCAACACTCTTGCAAAAATACTTTAAGTGCATATCTCAGCCATAACTTAAATTGGTGCACTATCTTAAATAGGGACATAAATAATTGGGAACTACATGTTGATTTGTTTCCAGTTCCACTTTTTTTATCCTTAACATAAACAGCAAAGCAAGTTTGATTTAGAAAAAAATATATATTATTTACATTATGTAAATAATGTTAACCTTTGCTGATATAGCTATCTATAGTCTACTGTGATGTTGATGGTGTAATATTTGCTGCCTTATTGAAATAAAAGAATTCCAAATTCTGTGGTATTTAATATCTTTGAAAAATACGAGCTCATACAGCAAAGTGTTTTTTGAAAAGAAGAGGTGTGCAGAATGCAAAGCTGCTGAACATGTGGTGTCAAAACATGATCCTGACATTCAGACACAAAACATGAGTTTTCCTGTTAATATCTCTTAAGAGAACATCAGTCTTTGGCGCTATATAGTCTCTCAACTGGAACAAGCCAGATCACAAACAACTTTTCATTAATCTTTCTTGACCTTTTCACTGAAAAGTTATTTTATGAGTCAAGATTTAGTGACTGTCACAGTTATTGAACGATCAAGTTCTGCCAGATTTAATCACACCAAAACTCTTCCCCATTCGGTTCTCCCCGCCTTCCATTGCGGCTACACACACAAAACTGACTCTATCCACACAGGTAAGAAGGATATAGGGGCTATTATTTCCTGACTTAAAACCACACATCTCTTCTTTTTCAAGTTCAATAATATAATTTACTCATTACTTTCAGACAAACTCAAAGCAATTAGATCCAGGCAAGGTAAAATAGAGCTAGTCTCAGATCTTCAAATTCCGTGTTGTACTTTTTTTCTTTCTCTTGAGACAGGTTCTTTACCTACAGGCCCTTTATCATCACAGAAAATTAATCACATTACTGCTCGGAGAACAATAGCAAAGTGGCATGCTCTCCTCCCTCGACTGTCATCATGTCAGCAACGTTACAAAATCACATGGTAACTTTATGCCACTTGATTCCTTTAAGGCGCCCTTCTCTGTTATAATAGCGTGCGAGTTCCTATCACTGAACTACATTGTAATTATAATAATATTTTATGGCTCTATGGTGCTTTTCATGGCACAAAAATACTATTTTGAATTATATCTTGTTTAAAGTCTTTAATAAATAAGGAATAATTAACCCTTTCTCAAGAATCCTGTGGGAAATCAGTTGAAACAAAAAAATAAAGCCACTGTTTCTCTTATTACTTCTCTTCATCTGCTAGTAGGAGGAGGGAGAATGTATAATGTCACATCCTACATTAACCCTTAGACTCCAATGACTTTTCCATTCGAAGAGACAAGCTTCTAAAGATGAGATGAGAAATCTTTTGTTTTCATCTGATGTTATAATCCTGTGTGGGTTTTTTTTTTAATGAGTCAAAAGAATTGCATACCTCAGGCAGAAAACTTGATTTACTGCTTTCTGAAACAAACTGCTCCTTTAAACATCTGGTTTAATAAAATACACTGCAGCAATGCTTGTGAAACTTGTGTATCAGCATTACCTATCAGGCACCTTCACAGAGAGTGCTGGCCCCTCATAGAGCATCTGAGATGGGGCCTAAGCATCTGAATTGCTAACATGGTCCCAGGTGATGAGATGCTGCTTCTGTGGCAACCAAGCCTCAAGACCCACTGCACTATAAAAATAGAGTTTCTGAGCAATAGGGAGTATTTTGATATCTGTATCTGGGCATCTTGCCCACTATAGGTAACTTTTTGATACTATATAACTAATATTGAAGGAGAAACATTTTTACTCCTTTTGAAACACAGTAAAGCCCTCCTTTAGTTGTTCACTCTTAATACACCCAATTATTTTGTTTATTTTTTATGAAAGAGACCCTGACACCTCCAGAAAGGACACACTCATGAAGGTGAACAGCATGTTTCCTTCTCCTCAACTGGCTCAGGACTACTGAATCATTATAACAAACAATGTGGACACATTTATCTTTCCTCGTACAATCCCTTTCTTCTTAAAGATCTGCTTAGTGCCTCCTTCTAAAACCAGTCACATTTACAGCTATTGAGATTACCTTGTGTGCGCACAGGATCTGACATAGGGCTTGGGTCACTGAGACCTTGGGGGTTGATCGCTCTGACCATGAATAAATAGATGGTATTGGGCCGCAGTCCTTTCACCGTGTACAGGGTGGTCTTCACATGATTTGCCACTGTCTGCCAGCTATTGCTCACTGATTGGCTGAAACATGAACAGAAATTCCATTTAAAGGAAAGTCATAAAGATACTGGAAATGGAGTTGGGTATCAATGACAAAAGTTAATGGCTGAAAATAGCACACACACACACACACACACACACACACACACACACACACACACACAAACGCTTGAAGTGTTCAGCCCAGTAAATGAAACATTTGGATGATTTTGGTTTATTCAACAACAAAGCCGAGCCCACCTAACGAAAGTGCCATGCACAACAAAATTAAACTCAGCCCAGGAGATGTGACAGCCCTTTGCTAATGCACAGCAGCCCACTAAATGAATACCTGTAAAAGGAACAGAGGCCAAGATCACAACATCAAGTTTATACAATAAATATGGTCCTCGTAAATGTATATATATACCTTGAAAAGAATTAACCTGTAGAAAGAATAAATGGACTACAGAGTAAATTATGCCAATACATTTTCCTGTTACAAGATGTGTGTTCTTTTGCATCAATTCCACATGCAATATTATAATAGAGCCTTTTAAAACTACATATCTGTAAAAGAAGAAAGGAAGCATGTAATGAATATCTTCCCTTGGTCACATTTTTAATACAATTTTACATTACACAGTATTGTGATTTCCCATCTTGGAATGGTGAAATATCTCTGAATCTGCACGTGTGGACCCTTCCAACCAGCTACAGATGGGATGCCCATTTAGAGCACTCTGTCTAGGGTTGAATGCTGCTTTTGTTCAGAATGAAGAGAAAATGTGATTTTCAGATACTTCTGTTTATTTTTCAGAAGTCCTTACACAACAAAGCATGGAGATTATAGGAAAATTGTATTTTGAAATTTGGAAACTATGTATCAATCATTACCTTCAATGGATTAGGGAAGCCTAAAATGAAAGCTTTTCTTTTTTTCTTTCTTTTTCTTTTAGCATTTGCCTAATACTTGAAAAGGATCATGGCTAACATTACCTTTATAACGGCCAATAGAGGCATATTGAAACTGAATATGAAGCTACATTTTCCCATTTGTATAAGTATTTTGTCAAATTCTCATAAGACAATTTTATGATGACCTTTGCTAATTTATAGTGTATATCCTTAAATCGATGATAATTATTTCAAATAATAATTGGACATATCTTATCCTTTCAGCAACCAGAGGTGCATTAAATCAATTTCTTACTTGTAGTTTTTAATTTTCTCTTAGGCATACCCAATAGATGTATTCAAATATATTAACATAAAAACATTGTGGTTATTTTATGTTCGGCTCTAATTATTAGGAAACCAAGTTCCAGAGTTGAGTGCCTCAATAAACTTTGCAAACTAAAAAAAGTCCCTGTGCCTAATTAAAGTTATTTTCTGCTTAGTTCTAATGCCAAAATTCTCATCTTAAATCCTTATAATGGTCAAAGAAAAGAAAGGAGCTAAGTGATTATGTCATGAACTAGATCTCTGTGGATTTAGGCATGGATAATGCATATTTAATTTTATAATTAAGTCATAAATTAAAAAAAAAAAGAAAGCGTATTCTTGAATAACGTCAGATTTAAGGATGAATTCTTAAAATGCATTGAATCCTTAAAATAAAACAGCTGGGTAGCTCATGTGAGATTTAGGATATAAGAGCTAAAGCAAAAACCCAATGGAGAAAAAAGGAACTGTCCCATACCTGAATGCCTCAATGATATATGCACTTGCTGGGAGGGCTCCAGGGGTACCTGGTTGCCAGGACAAAGTGACACTGTTCTTAGTAACATCAGTGACCAGCGGTTTGGATGGTGGCCCTGGCAGGTCACTTAAATCATAGTTTTTACTGATTGTTGCTCCAGATTCTATAGAGGACAAAGAGAAAAAGCTTTATTCCTGATTGCATAGGCTAACAACAATGCTTAAAAGACAGGAAACATGTATTAAAGGACTTGCTGAGACCAAAAGTATATAAGGGAATATTTGCTTTTCCTACATGCTATTAAATGTCTACTTTCACACATGATCAGTAGAATTGCTTCCTCTGCAGCTAGAGAAAACAAACTTACAAGAATGGCAAAGGCAAATGTATCAAATTCCATATATGCAACCCTATGTGCCAAGTGGTGCAGGAATTAAAAAGTGGCACAATACTTAGTGTTTACATTTAATGAATTTAAAATCTTGACCATGTCTTAACTTCTTATTTGATAATGAGCTAATCACTACAATAGGTTCAAGATTTCTTCTGTTAAGATAATTCACAAAGAGATCACCTGTCACATCCAGTACAGCACTCCAGGAAGTCTCCCCACTTGAACTTGTAGCCACACAAGTGTAAGTGCCAGTGTCAGAAATCTAGTGTGCAAGAAATGGAGAGAATTAAAGTGTCTTAATTAATTTGTAGAATAATTACTCGATCTTCAAAAAGTAATATTTAATTTCTTAAAATGTGAAGCAACATTTGGCTGTCCAGTTGTATATTAGTCAATCATATGGACACAAAATGTTGAAATAAACTCATATATTATTTTATTCATAACAGTGATCAAAATTTTTGTAACAGTGAACAGAATTTTTTTTAAAATTATATTTCTACAACTAAATGTTATTTATCTGGTCAACTTCATTTGTCTGTCTTTCTTGCCTCCACAGTAATACACTTAACCTTTTAGCTCCAGTTTTTGTTGGGACTTCACTGTGTCAGAATTGGATATGGACAATTTAGGGCAGAATTTTTCAGACCCTTATAAACATTCATATATTGGTAATACAAAGCTGTCCTCCCTGTCTCCAATAAATTATATTTCAATAATAAAATATACCCAGGAATAAATAAGCACTGAGAAGGGAGCAAACCCTTCCTTTTTAAAAAAAGACACGGAGAAAAGTGAGAAAAATTTTTTTTTTAAATTTTAAAAAATGAAAACTTTTCCTTTAAGGAGATTAATACTCAGTTATATTTAAATTGTAACAGTGTAATAGTAAATGAAATAAAGTTATATCATTAAAAAAATAAAAAAACATACCTATGGAATCATTGCAAATTAGAGCTGAAAGGGATGATAGAAATAATCTAATAAAGAATTCTTTATAAGCATACTTAAAAATTGGCATTTTACTGATCACTTAAAATGTTTTTGTTATTCTTTGAAGACTTTGAAGAATAAGTGATAATGTAATCAAGAGTTCCCTTTTACAAACACAAATAGCAGATTATGTGATTATACATTAATGTATAAGGCTTCCTGTGGCTGAGCTTTGTGGGCTTACACGGCAAACATTCATTCCCATCAGTTTAGGGCTGAAGGAAAAGTGAGACTGGGAAGAGAAATGGATAAGCAAACAGAATAAGGCAAGTCAGAAGATATAGCATTCACATTCTGGGATGAGCATGAATCTCACTGTTGATGATATATGGGAGTTTATGGCACATAATATCTGGTGAGTTCAAAATGTAAAAGTATGGATGACTCCACCTCCCGCAACAGATTCTCAGGTAAATCATTAGTGTGTGGATGTTGCTGCTATTCCACCGTTTTAATTACTTTTAAATGTCATTATGTATTTTAACAAGTTTCAAATTGCCCTGGAATGGAATTCTTTACCATATTATCTCCATACAATTGTCTTCCGTTATACAGAGGGAAGATGGGGCTAGCTAGCCAGCCACTGTAAAAAGAGCCATTCTTTCCAATGCGACTGTGAATACATTACAGTCATTAGAAATCTCTGCATTAAGAAGCATCCCTCACAAACTAAACATAATGAGCCGAGGCTGGATTTTAATGGGGTGTTCATTTGAATATGGTCTGTGAAAGAGTAAAGAATTTGCATTTTATTTTAGCTGTTGAACTAAAATGTGGCACTTTTTCTTCTGCGCAAATGCTAAAAGAAGATTATGTAGGTGATGCTTCTTAGCTGCATCTCCTTGTCGTGGTGTGAGATACAAGTCTGAAATTAGCTGTGGTAGGTGTGTTTTAATGAGTACTGGAATGTTCTTTCCACTTTTCAAAAGATACAGACTCAGCTACCAATTAGCTGGACTGCAGAACACAATGTTCAACGCACACTTTCTCCTTCTCCCCTCTCCCCCCCTGCATTGAGTACTGAAAAATAAATAGTGAGATACAAAGGAATATGTCCTACAGAAAGTCTTGATACAAGTGAAGTACTGTGAAGCACATTTTATCTCCCTTTAAAGACAGTCATCATACAGAAAAAGAGCAACGTTTCGTTTTGGAGGTTAGCATAAAAGTGCTATCAAAAGCCTAAATATCACTGCTAAACATCTCTGCTGTACCACCATCATCATCATCACATTCATTTTTATTCCTTCAACTTTAAACGTCTTTTCTGATCATGAGTGCTTCACATCTTTTCCATCTTTCTCCCTCTATCCTTAACCAAATGCTTGAAAAAGAGACTCATGTGCTGTCACCCTCTACCGTCCATCACCTACTGTTTTTGTGTAGTTGGTTGCAGACAAGCTCCCAGGAGCCTGCATCTCAGAGAGACTGCTCAGAAGCCTGTCAGAGGGCTCAAAGTTTGTTTGACATCATCAAGCACCCACCCTTAATTGCTTCTTTCGAACACTCCTGGGGATCTTGACTATTCAAGCACACCCTCTAATTCAACAGTACAGTGAAAACGCATTAACCTCCGTGGCCCAAGTCTGCCTTTAGTCCAGAGAGAGAGGTTACAGAGTTTACTCGAGAGTTAGCATTAATTTTTTAATAACTCCCGTTTTGTTCAAAGAAGGTTAGCAATTAATTTACAATTGGTAAAACAAATAGGTTAAAAATCTGTATTCATTTATTTTTCTTTGAATTGAAAACAACATCATTTTTTCCTACTTAGAGCCATAATTAATGCCTGTGTCTCAAGATTCAAAATTAAAAACTTATATATATATAAATTATATGAATGAAAGATTTGTTTATTTGTGCATGTGCATGATGCAAAAATAGGGGCATTTTTCCTTTTTGTATATGTCTGTATGATATACTGATAAACACAAGAAAGGCTTGTGATGGCAAATACATTTGCGTTGTAAGACAAAAACATTCCGCATGTTGATCATTTGAAAATACATGTCATATAAACATTTTATCTTCCTACCTTGGTTTGTGAAAGGGAAAATTCAACATCGTTTTTTGGTTTTTTTTTCAGGGCAGGGTTTTGATTTTGTTTTTTCTTCATCTCGGTTCCCAATTTCTCCCTAGATACCAGATTCTACTAATTGATCTTCCACTGAATCATGTTCAGTCAATTTTTCTTCATGCACTATTACATCAACCATCTTGGTTCTGGCTCTCATTCCCAATCTTGTAACTGCTATAATATACTCTTGCGCTTTGTCCTAGCGCTTGCTGCATGGAGGGGAGCCTCTCTATATTTGGTTGAATTAAATGAATGTACTTGTGGAGGGCAGGTGGCCCCTTGATACATTATCTTGATATTCACACCTTGTATAATCTCTCACTGTGAGTGTGTGTGGGGACTGTTGACTTACTTCTGGCCAACAAAATAGGGAAGGATGACAGGATGTCACATTTGTGATTATGTTGCATAGAAACACAATGTCTATCTTGCCAGGAGATTCTCTTTCTAGTTGACTTTGAGGAAGCAAGCAGTCATTTGGGACTATCCAAATGGCAAGGAACTGAAGGCAGCCTTCAGCCAACAGTAAGCAAGAAACTGAGGTCATCAGTCACAAGAAACTGAGTGTTGCTTGGAATCAAATCAATCCCCAGTCAATCTGCAGAGGAGACCACAACACTGACACCTGATTGTAGCCTTGTGGGACCCGGAAGCAGGAGACCAGGCTGAGTCACGCCCAGGCTTCTAACCCACAGACTGTGAGACAACAACTGTGTGTTGCTTTAAGCCTCTACGGTTTTGCTAATATTGCTACATAGTAGTAGATAGCTAACACAATACTCAGAGCTACACATTTATATTGAGTTATCCTGAAGCAGGTCTAACTTAAGTTTAAGTTGGCAAAAATAATCATTCGTTATCACATTGTCCTCTGTTAAAAGACCAGAATGGCTTGTTCTTGTCCACAGGTTTTACATCTAGATTTCACAGCAACTTCATCTAAAATAGAAGATGTTCCACCAACAAGACTAGCTAAACCTACTTTAAACATATACAAATTCATCTCTCTATTCTTTTCCCACACAACTCCTTAATTGAGCCAATTTATCCACATTTCCTTACAAAACTACTTTGTTCATGAGAATAAATCAGAAAAATTTATCACTTTCAAATTATTTTAAATATGCTATTACTATCATTAACCTTATGTGCTTAAGATATTTAGTTTCATTGATTGCATACATACAGGTTGAGATGAAGGAGTAAAAGTCTCTAAGTCTGTTAAGCATGTAACAACAATATAAGGACAATGATCTTCCTTCTAATTTGAATTCATCATTCGTACAATAAGAACTGACAATGGCATAGAATAAAATGTACAGCAGTAATGCTGAGATGTAAGATTTGAAGTTCACAACACAATTTTCTCTAGGGCAGGATTATGATAACATGAAATCCAAAAGCAAGTCAAACATTACTTACCCGTAAGTTTTTAATCTGCAACGTTCCTTGCTCTTGTATAGTTGCTCTTGGATCTCTACCCAGGAAAGTGAATCCCTCCTTTAACCAACTAATTACAGGAAGAGGATCACCAGTAGCTTTACATTTCAATAACGCTGTCCCGTCTACTGCTAGCGTTTGGTTGGCTGGACCTTGTAGAATTATGGGTGGAGGTCTATCTGTCAAAACTAAAGGATAAAGATATTTTTAGAATATTTCAATTTCTAGGAAATTCAGTAGTCTTGATATCAAAAGTAAGATTAAAGTCCCCAAATCATACATATTCCTAATAATGTATTCTGCATATGCACCATATATCTGTCATCTATACATACTGTATATACATCTATCAATAGAATACTGAGGCAATATTTTTGTTTATAAGTTATACTGAATTACCTATAATTAAGATGATGATGGAATAAATTCTGACATTTTAGAAAGTGTTATTGAAGGGTTTAATCAAATAAAAATAAAAATGAAAATATGGACAGTTTATAGCAGTCATTTTAACTCTCATATGCATATTTAAGAAAGCCTGTGGAATATCACGTGGGTAGAATCAATTTTCACTTTTGCTCTTATTATAAATATATGTTTAATACATAACTTCACACTTCATAGCACCAATCAATACTGTATGTATATAGACTATAATATTTTGCTTGATTTTAAAATATTTGATGATAAATAATTTCAAAATTGTGATGAGTCTTTAGATTGTAATACTATAACTTGAATGATATAATTTAATAGTCCTCACAATTATGCAAAGATAAGCAATCTAATTAGACTTTATTTATGGTATGACAAATACTGGCTTATCAACAGTGTTTACATATAAACCAATTCGTGTGTTCATTGGGTAAACTTTCCATAATCTCACAAACTTTTAGTTTAGTGTGTTTCTTATTGAATTGTAGCTTTGGTGCCTCTAAAAGTATTTCATAATGATTCAGGAAATATATAAAAATATGTAGTATTATTTAAATGGGTGATGGAAATATAGAGTCAATTGGAGGCAATCTTTCATCTATAACTAATTAGAAAGTCACAATGTAATGGAACTGACACATCGAGGTCCAAGTTTTATAAACTTCAGCATATATTTTGGATAATTATCCAAAGCGTTATTTTTATTTTATGTTTATATGTATATATAAAATATATGTATTTATATTTATATGTATATATATAATAAAAAGCATGCATATATATATTCATACATATGGGATAAAACTGTGGCGTCCACTTACATCAGATTTTCAAAATAAATACTCTAAATGAATTTTCTCTTTCTTATGATTTTTAAAATAATATTTTATTTTCCCCAGCTTACTTTATTGTAAGAATACAGTATATAATACCATAGAAAATATGTGTCAGTCTACTGTTTATGTTATCAGTAAGATTTTTGGTCAACAGGCTATTAGTAGTGAAGATTTGGGGGAGTCAAAAGTTATACATGGATTTTGAATTGCGAAGGGGGTCAGTGCCCCTAACTTCCACCTGACTAGTCAGCTGCAGAGATATAGCTAGGATACACATAATTAATTTTTTAATTGAAAAAAAGTTTAAATTTATGTTTAAAAATTTAATATTTGAATCTAAAAAAAACCCCTAAAAACAAAAAAACCCAAATTCCAAAATCATAGATACAGGGACCAGATTGGTGGTTGCCAGAGGCAGGGGGTGGGGCATGAGAGAAATGGGTGAAGGAGAATAAAAATGTAAAAAAAAACAACTTATCACTGTTTATGTTAACCGTGATCACGTGGCTGAAGTGTTTGTTAGGTTTTTCCACTGTAAAGTAACTTTTCCCCCTTTCATATTGTGCCATTTGGGAAGAACGCCTCTGGGCAGCCCACACTTAAAGACTGGGAGTTATACTCCACTTCCTTGAAGGCAGCGTATTTACAAAAACATATTTGGAATGCTTGTGCACAGATTTGTCTCTTCTCCATTTATTATTCAGTCATTTTTTTCTATCAGCATGGACCATGGCTATTTATCTTATACTTTGAGTTATAATTCAATACTACTTTTGTTTTTTTGCCCAAATTCCTACATTGGCCGCTGGGCACTCTTTTAGGTGGTTCCTGGGCTCTTTTGACAGCCAACCCCTCACTCTCAATCATGTGTGAGTTTTTGCTTTTGTTTTGTTGAGTATTTCCTTATTTTTTGGTACTATAAAATGCTCCAGGCTCATCTTATATAATTCCTGCCCCAGCCCTAAAATCAGCCATTTCTTCAAGTAAGCAAGAAAAATAAATCTGGCTTTTGGTTAAGCAAATATAAAGAGAAATAGTATTTTCTGCAGGTCACATTACAATGTTCATAATCTAAAAAGTCAGTTTGCTTATCAATGCTCTAGTCTCCTTGGTTTATCACCATCTATAAATGCCAATTTATATGATTATTTCTCAACCTGTATGCATCATCTTTATGGGTTTACAGGTTTGGGGAAAAACAACAAATTAAGCAGCCGTTTTAGAGCCTACCATGAGAAAGCCAACTAATTTTAATTTAAAATAGACATTATTATACAGGTCCCCTACCTGTTAAGATACAGTGGACTACCAATCAACCTAAACCTACCCTATCAAAATATATATTAAATGTGTGTGTATGTATGTGTGTGTATGTATGCATGTATATATGTACATAGAAAACCTTATAAAAACCTAAGAAAACCAATAAAATATTTATTCATGTGCTGTTGACAAAAATTATAACCATCATTTCACTGATTTTCTTGACCAAATTTTTCATGATAGGAGTAAATAAAATAATCTTCAGGGAATGTGAATGTATAATGTTTTACGAATTATGGCACATCTAGCAATTATTATGCAAACAGATATTCAAATAGAAAGTTTCATAGGATTTATTTTCTTTATGGGTCAAAAAGGGAAGGCCAATTCACAAATTATTATAAGTTTTAAATTCAATGACAAAAATGGGTGTGCAGTACCAGAGAATAAATAATGTATTAAATATTAAATAATTTTACATTGTTTCAAATTAAATGTCTACATAGAATTAAGGTAACTTCTTATAACCTTTTATTTTCATATTCCTGAAATCATTAGATATAGCCCAAAGGTATCTAATAGTGTCTTTCTTTTTTATTGCCCTAATGAGTAGCTCATTGTATTTTAAATGAATTTGATCAATAAAGTAATTGAAAATCTCCTAGCTAGAAGGAATTTTAAGTTTCAAGTATGCTATTGGTGGAAGATGACCACAGGTTTCCATGACACTAAGGTCAATGGTTAAATGAACATTTAGGGTTTGCAGTGACCTGTGAAGAACTTCATGGTTTTCTCTAACTATGCATTATAAATCCTCAATCAACCATTCATATAAGATCACGGTGTGACATTTATTGTCAATATAAGATATATTTCTTCTCCCCAGTCTGTTTAGATTGTATTGACTCCACTCATATAATTCTCATCATAATATTCTAATTTTCTTAGTTTAAAAGAGCAGAAGAAACGAAGAACAGTACCAATGAATTACTGAGAAGGCCTTTTAAAGGGATATTTTGAAACTCAAGTATATTGATGCATCATAGCTTAAACTATAATCAGTAAAATTATCACTCAACAGCACCTTTCATCACCATTAGCAATCTCATCTTATATGAACAATTCAGTTAAAAATATTTCCAAGGGCGGGCCGAGTAGCGCATTGGTTAAGAGCTGGCTTGGGACGCGAGAGGGCCCCGGTTCAGATCCCACCTATGAGGGCCAATGACACTGCCCTCCACAGCTAAGATGCTGAACAACAGCTCAACCTGGAGCTGGGCTGCCGTGAGTCGCCAGTGACGGCGTAGGCCGCAGCCCCTGCTGTAGTGGGTTGCCATGGGCTACTGTATTTAGCCAGCAGCCAGCATGAGCGGCCAGCAGCCGCAGTGAGCGGCCGTCCAGAAGCCGGTGACTGATCTGCCTGCCTGGGAAGAGCGCAATGATGGTGCCAACTTGGGTCAGTGAAGCAACATCCTCCACAACTAGACTGAAAACAAAACGAAAGCAACTTGTCTGTTCCCCATCCCCCAATTCCCCAATACAAATCTTAAAAAAAAAATAAATTAAAAAATAAAAATATTTCCGAGAAAGGAGTTTAAGTGCAAAAAATGTACCAACAGTAACAATGCTCTAGCTGGTTTGCTTGTTTCTCAGAACATGGCACATAATTTCATACTGCACTGGAATTTCAATTAGCTGTAAGTTGCCCTGGAGCATACCAAAAATTGTTAATGAAAATGATGGCTCACATACTTTAAATTGTTAACCAATCTGAAAAACCCAAAACACTGAATAGAAGATGAAGTCATCAGCCAATGTGGCAAGTAGATATTTGGAAACAGAGTTATTTATAATTATAAATGTACGTATATGTTTAAGTCCTAAAACTGGATTTCTTTACTGTCAAAATCAATAACTCTATAAGCTTCATTCAACATTTTTGCAAAAGGATCTTGATTTTGTGGTGCTTACTTAAGTAAAAATCAGTGTAGTAATTAGTATTCAGGCCGGTTGTAAGAAAATGTCCAGCGCCATCTATCTCAGTCATCAGATTTAAAATTGTTTAATCACTCTCTTAATTTTGATCTCACAAACGAAGCTAGATTACCAGCTGTTTGGTGAGACTGTTATCAAGTAACATAAAGTTTTCCTTTCTGTTATATTAGACATAATTCTGAATATCTACCTGTTTCATGAACCACATAAGTCATATCATAAATCAACTCTTCTAATTCATAAATTTTGTCTCTACAAATACGGTTTGCCTTTTCCCTAACAATTTCTTCATTTAGATATATTTAGAGTCTGTCTTTTGTAAAATACTACAACCAGCCAGATTATAGTAGAGATCTTAAGTTTTATGTTTGGAATGTTTCATAACAGTATGGAATAAAACTTAAGCTTTGGCTAGAATATCTTATTTCTCAAGTATGTGTTCTTGGAGATTTTTGCTAATAGTAGAAGACATAAGAACTTTAAAAAGGTTACTAATTGCATTTTATTTCTCTTAAAGACTACAGAGGTATGAAGGATCAAAGATCTTGTCCATCTAAAGGAAGAACTTCTCAGCACCCTTGCCCTTGAATCTGACTTCTGTCAGTTCCATACAGTAAATCTCAGCAGCATTAGCAGGTGTGACCGTTAATGACCCAGGGTCCCCACAGCCAATGTTTGTGTGTTCTATGTATTCTCATTCCTACATGATGCTGAGTCATGCATTGCCATGAACAGACATTAAAAAATATTGCCTTTCTATTAACTTGAAATGACTTTTTAATCTACATGGAAATGTGAATTGCATGAAAGCACATCCAATGCTACCTGCAGAGAAAGAAGAGAATCAGAGAGGTCACAGATCAAAGCTCTGGCATCTCAGAATCACAGTGTCAGGAAAAAAACAAAAAAACAAACAAAAAGAAACCAAACAAACCAAAAAACCCCACAAACCTCACAAATATAGGAAAGCAAGAGAAAACTGTTAATTTAAGACATCCAACAGTACGGTTTCAATTCATGCTTAGAGGTTCACAAAAGATCTAAAACTCCCTACCTGTCAATTATGATCAACTCTTGGGTGGGGGGGAAATCAGATTATGAAAAGCCTTACATCTTTTTCAACTTTCATTACGAATGTAGGTGCCTCAGTTAAGATTTATCGTACATGCGTGCAAATAAAAAAGTAATAATGCTAGCATCCATCAGTAATTAGAAGGTATTTAATTAATGTAACTTAGTGAATATATAATTAAAAAGTCATAGAATGTCATAATGTGATTAGCTAACTAAAAACTCATCTCTGTTTCCACCGATAATCTTAAAGATGCTATGTATCTCTTTTTCATCTAGTAAAATAAAATGATTAATATCTATTAGAAGCAATCATGTCTTCATAAGACTAAATAAAATATAAAGAACAAATGTCTATACATTGAGTATAATGTAATTTCTTTAAAATAACGTGTCACTCTAATTTTAAGAACAAATAGATTGTCTTGGATTTTTGGGGGGTAAAATAAATGGTACTAAATCAAGAAGAATAGAAACTATTAAAATGTTACCTTACATAAGCATTAATTTAAACAGCTAACAAATCAGAAAATTTCACATGGTTATTGTGGATCTTGAAATAAAAATTTTTATTTTCATAAGACAAATGTAATAATATCTCACCGTCTGTAACTTCCAATTGGGCTTTCGCTAGAATGCTTCCTGCCACAGTTAGGGCCTGGCAGATGTAGTAACCGGCGTCCGAACGCTGAATGTTGGTAATCGTGAGGTCCCCAGTTGGCGACACAGAACATCGACTGTTGGGCTGCTGGGGTTGGTTTGGGAAAAGCAGGTTCTGCGGAAGCAAACACAGTCTCATCAATATTCTTTTCCCACTTGGAAGGAAAACTACATGAACAATAGCTATTGCAATTATGGGAATACTTTGGAAACAGGAAACTATAGATTAAAAAAATATATATATGGTGTTGAAATTATTAAATGCCCCACAGTGAGTTTCCCTGGGAAACTTTTTCCAAATCATGAGGAAATAATATGTTCCAAGAATTCAGCCTGCTCGAGTTGAAGGAACAGTTATCTGAAAAATCAGGATCTTAACCATTTACTCTTTCCCTGACTTTCTGCTAGTTACGTAATATCTTTGAAATATGGTATCTTCCTCTGTGAAAAGGGCATAATAATGTTTATCTGACTCGACTCATAAGACATTGTGAGAATCTGAAATGTTATATTAACTATGTGTGTGTTTTATAAGATACACATTACTAAAAAAAAAACGCACAATATACCTTCTGTTGATCATTTTGGATAGTTGATGTAATTAACCGAATTTCTCCTAAAAGTGTTCAAAAGGGTGTGATGAGATTGACACAGAAACAGCCGAATCTACTTCTGCTGTAACAGCTTTGTAACAGGTCGTAACAGCTTTGAAAGGAGCTGTGAACAAATGCTACAGTCTCAGCAAGAGTAAGCAAATCATTGACAATAAAAAGATGGAGAATGTTTCTTAAGTATGAATGTAATCTTAAAGAATTTATAATAATACTTTCTTTTAAAACGTTCCTTTAGTTTACTATGTGTCTCATATTAAATACAAGTAGCTTAATCATAAAATTTTTAAGTTCTTATATGAGAGCAGTAATATTAACTTGGATGACCTATTTGCTTTACTGTTGTTCATTGAAAAAAAATGGGGTATAATAAATCATATTAAGATGCATTTCCAAGTTGGATTATAAATAAGGAAGTATCAATTTTTATGTTGTATTTATTTACAAAAGGAACATTATAACCCTCTGGGATCTGTTTCTGAATATAGTAATTAATTTTCCAGGTTTGTAATTAAACAGTTTCAATACGTTACAATCAGGAGGTAATAACACTTAATTAAAGGCATAAGACACATTTTCACCTTAAAATGTTTTTTACCCTTGAAGTAATACCAATGAAAGAGGATAAAATAGGGTATTAACACTTTTCAATTACGCTAAATGACTTTAATCCTGCGAATGATGTCCTACTTTAATTAGAAACTCTTCTCTTTATTGCAACATGATGGATGTCCACTTTATTAGATTCGAGTGTGACACTATAAGCCCACTTTACATAAACATTACCATGTTGTTAAACCCTTTCTAAAAGAAGTGATGTTTGCTAGCATGTCAGGAATATAATTTCAAAATGCTGTTGCCCTTATATAAAATTTGCATTACTGTATAAGGCTAGACATTTCTATACATATGAAACATAATTTCAGAACAAGCTAATTCTCCTGTGGAATCCAACTATATTACTGAAATAAACCATCTGAAAGAGAAGGGTCTAAATTTTAAACCTACTTGAAAATGATACAATAACTCAAAGTGTACACTTTCCTACAATTAGCCATTGGAATACTAATTTACATAGCACTAATCCATCAGATGGGCCTAACTGTCCCTGGGATCTCTCCCTCGACAATGTAATATTAGTCCACCTTCTAAATGATTCGTTGACATGGAAAACGGCATATGGCTGAGGTCAACCCATCATCTCTACTCCCTGCTTGTACGACACAGGCAAAAGAAAACGGACGGCAAGTAAAACCCAGGAATTTTACAGAGCTCTTCTTACCTTGAAGTGCCTGGGTACCCTATTCGTGCGAATTGACATTATCAGCACATATTAAGGAATATGGACCATTAAGTTCAGGCTCTTAACTCTCTCTACTGATGGATAGTCATAGATCACTTTAAAAATTGGATACTGGAGACAGTGAGACCGGTTCACTTTTCCTAATATCTCAATTCACGATTTGAAAATTTTCAATTTGATGAACTTTACAATGTGCTCAAGCACTTCTCTTTTGCTCTCATTCACATTCTCTCTCCCACACCTCCTCTGATGTGAGGAAGATAGGTGAAGAAAAAAAAAACCTAAAATTATAATCAAATCAAATTACCTAACAGGAAAAGTGTTTCCAGAGATTACTATCTCTGGAATTACATACCACTTTGTCAAATAACAGGAAAATATATACTTTAATGCTATTTCATCATTACTTCTTTAAAAGCCATTAAAACACAATGTAGCATATTTAAATATCAAGTTTATTGGGCCACAGGACCAACACACATTTTATGCAACATCTTCTATCAACCTGGAGCTATTATAGGGCATGTGATTGACACATGATATAGCTGTATTTATGTAAAAATAAGGCATTCTATAATGGGATTTGACTCAATATATAGATTCAAAGTGTAAATTTCCAACAATCAAATTGCTTTACATCATTTTATTTACATCACCTATAAATAAATATTTATATCATTATATTTACTATCAGCGACTTGAGAGAGTAACTTTTATGGACCGTAGCACCCATATGGGTGGAGGGAGGGAGCTAGAGGCAGGAGGAAGAATCAGGCAGACCTTCTGAGGCTCTCTGGGGTTCACCCAGGCACTGTGGGGGTCTGGGAGAGAGGTGGCCAGAGTGTGGCTGAGCCTCTCCTCAGAGCTGGACAGCAGAGGGAGGCCTCAGGTCAGGCCCTGGCAGCCTTAACCTGAGCAGAAGCATAAAGCTGCTGCTTCAGCCAAGACACCAGGGGAGGCAGTTGCATTTGGCATTTTCCCCATTTCTAACTAGGTGTTAGAAATAGCATCTTGTTGACCTTCATAATGTGTAATGCACCTTCACATATAAACTAACTTAATCATGAAATTTTCATAACTCATGGGAAGTAAAATGTATTATCCTCATGTTTTAGATTAACAAAAGAAACTTCAGTAAAGATAAATGTTGCTACAAAAACTGTACAATCATGAGTTGGAAATGGCTTTAGAATTCTTTCCTTTTGCACGATGTGGGGTGTGTGTGTGTGTGTGTGTGTGTGTGTGTGTGTGTGTGTGTGTGTGCAACTGTGTTATAACTATGTCATGTTGCTTTACACTCACTTTAGTTTGCCATGTTTTCATCCAATAGCAATTTTTAAGTAAAGAATCAAGGAACTCTATGAATAGAAATCTATTTTATAGTTCTTAAGTGATAAAAAAAAAAGAGTTGGGAATTAAGGCCTGGAACACTTCTGATGTGGGGTAAGGCAGTGGCCAGCACTCTACCTTATCTTTTCATCATTACTTTCTCATCCCCCAAATCATAGGGGAAGAGACTCCAACAAGGAGCATTAAGGAGAGGACTAAAGACAATATGCCCATCCATACTGAGTTGTTAAACTGCTAGCTTGGGGTGGTACAGGGGTATATAGGAACTCACAATAATTAAAGATGATGACTGAGGGAAGCTTCCTAATGCCTCTCAACCCAGATAATCATACATGAGTTCTAATCAATAGGTTCTCTTCATAAAATGGAAAATATTTTCCAAATTTCTGGCAACACATTTAGATTTTCTGAGACTTTTTAGTTTTTAGTTTTTAAGGTTTTATTGGGGAACTGGAGGAGGGGAGCAGTGTTGGGGAATGGGGGAAGGGGAACAGACAAGTTTCTGTCCTTTTGTTCTTCAGTCTAGTTGTGGAGGACGTTGCTTCACTGGCCCATGTTGGTATTGTAATCATTGCGCTCTTCCTGGGTAAGGCAGTTGCTCATCAGCCATTGGACAGCCACTTAAGGTAGCTCACGGCAGCCCACTGCAGCAGGGGCTGCAGCCTACGCCGTCACCGGTGACTCACAGCAGTCCAGCTCCAGGTCGAGCTGTTGTTCACCATCTTAGCTGTAGAGGGCACTGTGTCACTGGCTCTCATGTGGGATCCGAACTGGGGCCCTGCTGCTCAGAGCTGATGTCCCAAACCAACTCTTAACCAACGCGCCACTCGGCTGGCCCAGATTTCCTGAGACTTTTAATCATGGTTTCCATTATTCCCCAGGAAATTTTTTCCAGAACTTGGACTAAGAGCAGAGGGTGTTGAGGAAGAGCACCAGTAAATCTCTTCCTGAGAACTATATACCTCCTTCGGGAAGGTTCTGGAATGTCTAGAACAAAAATATCTCTAGGTCCGTCAGAAATGCATTAAATAAATTCTTAGACAAAGAACATAATGTCTGTTTTGGATTAAGCTGGAAATTTCACTCATAGCCTCAGAACCTAGAAGTTAAGTGTTAGTCCAAATTTAGATCAAGTCCTGAAGGAGAAAAGTAGTGTACCCAATTGACTTTTAGCAGACAGTCTGAGTGGCCATGCTGCCAAGACAGGACAAACCATTGAAGAGGAAAGGTCACACAAGTGTTGGTGCCTTCTGGTATATCATGTGCTATTTCCTGTCCGATCCCACTATGAAGGAATCCTGAAGGCACAATGGAAGTCAATGTTTCTCTTACTCTTAAAAGGAAGCATGGGGCCGGCCGAGTGGCGCGATGGTTAAGAACTCGCTTGGGATGCCAGAGGGCCCCGGTTCGGATCCCACATATGAGGGCCAGTGACACTGCCCTCCACAGCTAAGATGCTGAACAACAGCTCAACCTGGAGCTGGGCTGCCGTGAGTCGCCGGCGACGGCGTGGGCTGCAGTCCCTGTGGCAGTGGATTGCCATGGGCTACCGTGTGTGGCCAGCAGCCAGCGTGAGCGGCCAGCAGCCAGCGTGAGCGGCCGTCCAGAAGCCGGCGACTGATGTGCCTCGCCTGGGAAGAGCGCAATGATGGTGCCAACTTGGGCCAGTGAAGCAACATCCTCCACAACTAGATTGAAGAACAAAACGACAGCAACTTGTCTGTTCCCCTTTCCCCAATTCCCCAGCACTGTTCCCATCCCCCCAATTCCCCAAAAAAAAAATCTTTAAAAAAAAAAAAAAAAAAAAAAGGAAGCATGCTTCTCATAATGACAAAGAAAAGTTATTTATACTCTCTATCTATGAAAGGACATTGAATTTGGTTTCTAGTCCATTTAACAATGGAAATATATTTTGAGTGTTTTTTATGTGCCCAGGATGTTCGAAGTGCTTTATGTGTCTAACTCACTTAATCATCCATACGTAGCTCAGTGCAAGAAAGCAAAATTACTTTTCTGTTCAGGGATTTTAAGAAGCTACAGAGGGTTTGGATAGATTTTTTAAGATAATTTAGTTACACAGAATTGTATCTATGCTATATAAGGCACAGGAATTTTTAAAAATTAACACTAGAAAATAAAGAATGTTATATCGGAACATCTGACTGCTGCTTATTTTAGAATTAGTTGTTGGTTTTTTTCTTTTTTTAATCAAATTTATATATTTTTAAATTTTATTAACTTTATTGGGGTGACATGGGTTAATAAAATTACATAGTTTTCAAGTGTACAATTCTATAATACAAAATCTGTATATTGAATGCATTGTGCATTCACCACCCAAAGTTTATTGAAATATATTTCAGGTACAATAAACTATATGCATTTAAAGTATACAATTATATGAATTTTGACACATATACACACCCATGAAACCACCAGCACAATCAAAAGGCAAAATATTTCCATGACCCACAAACAATTCCTAGTGTCCCTTTGTAGTTGGTTTCTTTTTTAGAAATAAAATAAATTCAACATTGATAACAAGAAAGGTAAGGCCAACTTTGGGGAGCACCATAGACGGGGAGTTCAGAGGTTTCAGAACAGCAGTCAAGGCTGACACTCACCTGGCTGCCTTCTTTTTGCCAAAAAACAGCTGGTTGCGGGTTTCCTTTAGTTTCACAGGGAAATGTCACTGTTCGACCTTGAGCAACAATCTGATCTCTTGGCCTAACCACAAACTGTGGAGGAGCTATAATTTAAAAGGAAAGAAAGTGTGTAAATATAAACCACTGACAAAAAAGAGCAAAAAGATATCACAGGGAAAATCTGGTACTAGGTGTACTGCCCAGTGCCAGACAGGCTACAGTTTTTGATTAATTTTTAAGCATTTCTCAAAACAAAATGGGGAGAGGAAAAAAGTGCCCCTATCACATGTGAGGAAAGAAGTATACTTATTAGTAGAAACATTTTAAATGTACATTGTAGTCTCATGGCCCATATAGTTGCACATAAAAATATATTTTTATAATATTCTTTTTTTTAATTACGTTTATCAGTGGTGACAATGGTTAGTGAAATTACATAGGTTTCAAGTGTACAATTCTATAATACATCATCTATGTATCACATTGTGTGTTTACCACCCAGGGTCAGTTCCCCTTCTATCACCATATATTTGACCCCCTTTACCCTCTTCTACCATCCCCCTCCCACTTGCCCCTTGGTAACCACTAAATTGTTGTCTGTGTCTATGAGTTTTTGTTTCTTTGTTTGTCTGTCTTGTTCCTTTGTTGCTTTCAGTTTTATATCCCATGAGTGAATATGAGTGAAGCCATATGGTTCTTGACTTTTTCTGTCAGACTTATTTTGTTTTATAAAAAAAAACACATTGTTTTCCAATTTGGTTTTGTGCTTTGAATAAGTAAAGATAGAAAAGAATCACTCCACTATTCAAACATCTCCTTCCTGTGAAATCAATCTATTGACAAACATTGATTATGTTTGTAATATTTATAAGACACTGTACTAGGCATGGGGATACCAGAAGGCATGGGATATGATCTCTATTCTCAAAGTGTTTATATTCCAGAACTGAAGAGTTGAAGCATTGAAGACATTGAAGAATTGAAGAGATGGGAATTACATACAAGGAAAAATAATATAAAGAAATGTATGAAAGTGGTTGATTCTATTTAATTCATTTCATTTAGGTAAATAAGCATTAGTCAGATAATGACTGTGTTCCCCTATTAGGCCCTAAAGATACACAGATAAAAAGCATCCATCATACAGCCATCAAGGAACTCATAGCCTAATGAAAAATACAAAACATAATGATGATGTCAACAACAACAACAGCGAAACTAAAACAATTGTGTAAGATGATGGTAAATTCTATGATGGAGATACTCTCGGAGCACAGCAGAGGAGCACTTATTTATAAAGCATATAATAAATGTGATAAGACTACAGGAGTGAGGGATCCCATTGTGTTCCATTAGCTGTGAAAGGCTGTATGTAGGAAGCAAACCTTATGGAGGTTTTGAGGAAAGGGTGGCATTTAGATAAGTGGAGAAATGAATACATTCCAGACAAAGAGCTCACTGAGTAAAGTACAGGAAGCAATAACGCATCTCATAGACAATGTGTAATCACACAGGAATAGAGAGTCCCAGTGTATAAACAGCACTGGCTACAAAAGAGAGATTTGGATGTGGTCTAAGAATGTCCCTGGAAGCCAAACTGGGGGAGGGAGGGGGCTATTCTGACTCTCTCTAAACTGAGGAGAAATAAACACAAACCAAAAATTTTGGAAGCTTTAGCCCTCTAATGAATGTAGTACAGCTTGGGAGGGAGGTAGGTTAGTCAATATAGTAGGGAGTCTGTTTGGAAAACTAGTAAAATGGTGTAGGTGAAGATAATGAGGCCTCAACACAAGTAACTCCAATAGAAAAGAAAATAACGGGGTGGGGGTAAAAAATGCTAAGAAAATTCCAATTTAAATTAGCGGCTAATTGTGAAGAGAAAAAAAGTGAACGACAGTACACAATAAAAGTGGAAATGTTCACAAGGACGTCTTCTTCATGCCCAAACCACTCCTGTTGAAGAAAAAACAGTATGCTGATTTATTTCATGGCTTTGCTAATCATCTGTTTCCACTCTAACTCATTGCTCATGCTAAGAAATGTAAGACCAAGAAAGAAACTTTAAATCAACTCTAGTTTTCAGAACTTGGTGTACATGGCAATGGTCCTAAAATTTGAACTCGAAAGAAGTCTAACAATAAGCGACATTCAGTCAAGGCCTTTAACCAGAATTCTTTCAGTCCTTCAGGAGAATATGAGTACAGGTCCAATAATGGAGTCAATGTAGGGTAGTCTCAAATATACAGCCAATTACTCATTCTTACAAAAATGCTAGCATAGAAACAGCAGCAGCATTAAAAAAAAATCACTGAGATTTGTAGTGACTTATTTTCTGGTGTTCCATTATACTGCCTCCTAATTCCACACATTCAACACGTACCCCAGGGATAGAAGGAATAAATCTACTAAGTGAAATTTTCTTCTATAACTAGAGATAATAGAAGACTCAGTTTAACAGGATGGGGAACTCAGATTTATGGATCTATTTGAACAGATTGTGGTTTATGTTGTCTTGCATTTTCAGGAGATTACTTGCCTCTTACAATCTTCTTGTTATTTCTACACAATTCCAATGAATCAGCAGGTATATTGATTTTCTTGTTTCCATGTTTTATAATAAGAATGATATTTTAAGTCAATGTTATAAAACTACTTTAGGAACAACTCTTAAAACACTGCAGTGCCCATTTTTTCATTAGAGATGGGCAACAACCAGTTATTTATACCGAAAACAGATTTAAGATTGGCCTCTATCATCTGTACTAACCAAGAATTATATCTATTAAGAAAAAGTTAAAAATTCAATGTATGGTCTTTACTTCTTAGTAATCCTATGAAAGAAAAGTTTAGTGACAATATGAACACTAAGCAAGGAGTATTGAGTAATTTATATTCTACCTCATTATCAAAAATGAAAAGTCAATTTAGTCAAAATCAGTTAACAGTCTTTGATAAAAGTCACATATTCAGCTTATTAGTTTATTTGTACTCTTTGGACCAGAAATAATTTAAATTACCTCACATAACTTCTTTGAATTTGCTGTTTCAAATTTCTAAAAACTTGATCACAGATGAGTGATTTTGCAAAATGCTTTTGGAATCCAGATCCTACAATTTTAACACAGCTGCTAAAACACAGTCCCCAAAATAAGTACTGGCAAAGGACCACATCGATGTATCTACTTTCCTGAAAAGATATGATTTATCCATTTATTCATTCAAAATGTATTGATTAACTATAAATTACGAGACATTCTGCTTGGTGAAGGGATCAAAAAGCCAAATTAAAAAATAGTTCTGGTCTACGGCAGAGACTTCTAAGAAAATAAATAAATAAAAACAAATACAGTAGAGTATGCATTTTATAATAATAGAAAAATACCAAGAGCACTGGGAAAGAAAGTGTGGGACAGCAGCAAACTAGACCGCGGATGAGGAAAGATGAGGACAGATGCCATCAGACGGCCACACTTGAATTGTGTTCTGATGTACGAGTAGGAGTTCACTGGGTGAAGAGGAGAAAGATCGCATGGGACAGAGAAAAACAGACATTAGCCCTGTGGAACTGGATGTGTTAGTGGAGTGCAAATGACTTTAAGAATAAAATCAAAGATACAGAAGTGACATAGGTAGAGCTAGATAGCTGATGTTAATGGAGCTTAAATTTTGCCTGAAACGTATGGAGTTCTGTTCAAAGATGTTAATGCCAGAAATATATCATAAGACTTGTGTTTTAGAAAGAATGCTCTTTCTAAAGGAGAAATGACTGGAAAACCACAGTAAGATGAGGCAAAAAAATTCAGTTGAGAATTGCTATTGACAGTAGCACCTAAAGAGAATATTTCCTCAGAACTCGTAAAGGACAAAGGAATTCTGCAACATCATAATGTAGTATTTGCCACTAATGATATAATTAAAAAAAGCAGGAAATAATAATTTCTTAAGTTTTTACCCAATGCTGAATTTTTAAAGACCTCTAACAATATGCTGTCTGCCTTTGGTTTAATCATGCTATGAAATATCCTTTCAGATGGTGCTTATTTATATTATACTTTTCCAACTTATAAATACACTGTATTTCTAACGTACCAAATAGTTTCTTGTTACCAGAACTAAAGTCACACTAATCTCCCTGAGACTGGAATCACCTTACCATTTAAAAAAAAATTAAAGCATTTATAAAAAAAAAATTAAAGAGTATTCAAATCTCTGAAAACGTCCATCCTTTCCTAGGGTCCCCTTAAGTTGGACCACCAAAACAAATTGTGTCGATCACCGCCTTTACTTCTGTAGACTCTCTCTGTCAAAGATCTATATTGCAATCTTCTGTGAAGGGAGAAGGGATATTAGCTGAAAGAATTTATTTTTGAGGTTTGAAAATGAAAAATGACATCAATAATTCTTCCGTGAGCACTTCCCAGTTCCAGGATTTCTGCCAGGTGGCAGTGAAAAGAGTTTGAAAAGACAATACTTAGTGGATGGCACTGATGGGAGGAGGCAAGCATCGAGGTGGCATTTTATCCACGCTGCACGCCAGCACAAAGCGTGCCACAGATANATATATATATATATATATATATATATATATATATATATATATATATATATAACATGAATGAATGATCAGGTCCTCAAAATGACAATTCAAAATATACATTTAAACCCAATGTAAATGAAAGAGGTTGAGTTATAAACTCCAGAAGAATATGCTAGCTATAGAAATGGCAAGTCTCATATATTTCGAAGGCAAAAGACTATAACATATATATTTATGTCCTCTCTAAAACCCAAAAACGTTAGACAAATCTTTTGAAACTATGATGTAATGATCTCCTTGCTTCATCTGTTATGTGATTATATCTCATTGCTGCAGCTATAACAAGAAATGAGATGAAGAAAACACAGCAGCACATTCGGTGTTCAATCGACACAAGTTGAAAACAACAGCTCTCCATTTAGTATGTCGTGTGATTTCCAGGGAAGTACACCCAGCTATAAGAAGGTCAATTAAAATTAGAGGTATGGTCCTGCTCCCTTGAAACTGGTTTGGAAAATTTAAATACAATTCACAGTAAATTAGATTTGATTTCTGCTAAATTATGCT